GGGGGACGAAGGCTAACCCGTTTTGGTTGTTATGACTGGCAAGAATCGGTAGGTTCTTTGAGGGACCAGAAGCAGGCTGATTTTAAAAATGGGGGAAAGGGTTCTTCTGGTCGGGGAAGAAGACGAAGGGTGTACATAAAAGGGGGTATAGCGTTTTTTTTTAACGCTATGTATAGCGTATAAAATCAAAACGCTATATCAAGTATAGCGTCTAAAAACAAGACGCTATACCTTAACGGAAAAAGTTACCGTTAAGGTATAGCGTCTTGTTTTTAGACGCTATATATAGATATGTAACTTTTTTTTTTACGCCTATTAATGTATTTTGAGTCCAAAAATACAATATTTAGGTTCCGGACTCGATTTTTTTTGTATAAATACAATGTTAAAGCAAAAATTATTGGATTCCCGAAAACCACCATCGAATCTTGTGATGAAGCTCTAAGAATGAAAAAGTTTAGGAGATAACATGTTTTTTCTTTAATGAATTTTATTCGACCTGAATCAAAATTAGTCAGGTCATTGAGTGCCGAATATCATATGGCTAAAGGACAAAAGAAAAAAATCCTTTCTGAAATTTCAGCTCTGCTTATCTTCAACCTCATTAAAATGAAGAAATAAACACATAATATTTCTTTTACTACGTTTCCGCCCACTTATCTTCGGTCTTTTCACATCGGCCAAATATCAAGAAGCTCATGCCAAGAGGCAAACATAAATGTACCCTACCAAGTCTTATTACTCCCTTCGGTTCACAATAAGTGACTAATTTACTTTTTTATTTTGGTCCAAAATAAGTATCCATTTATATAATCAAGAACAAATTCAATTTGTTTTTTCAAAATTACCCTTATGTATCCCTGAAAATCATTTACTCCTCACATTTGAGAAGAGAAGTAAGTGCTACTATAACTATGGTGCAACATTTAATGAAGGGTAGTTTAGTTACACTAACTATTTTCGTCTAGAATTTAATATTTCTTTAATAGGTATGCCCAAAATAAATTGGTCACTTATCATGGACTGTCCACAGTGAGAGTAGTAGACATTTTGTCCCTTTCCTCACACCTATTGCTAGCTCCATCTAAAGTGTGTGTCAAAATCAAATTAGGCAATGCCCTACTTTTTAGTTACTTACAAGAAGCAAAGACTGCATCTCCAGTAGCAACAGCTTTGAGTGCATTAATCCCTTACTCCGAAGATGTCAACTTTCAATTATCTGAATTTATATCTTTATTTTTACAAAGCACTGATTTAGAGTCCGTTTGGATAAGAATTTTTTCAATTTTTTTTAAAATAAGTGTTTGGTCATAAATTTTTTAATTTTCACTTGAAAACTAATTTTGAAAAACTCAAAAAAAATTATTTTTCAAAATTTTCACTCAGATCACTCACAAAACTTCAAAACAACCCATTATTATATTCATGTCCAAACACAACTCTAAGTAGTCGTTTGGACATAAGAATTTTAAAATTTCAAAAAATGGTGAAAAAAATTTTCAAGTGAAAATGATATTTGAAATTTGGAATTGTGTTTGGACATAATTTCAGTTTGGGTTGTTTTTGAAGTTTTATGAGTGATTGGAGTGAAAATTTTGAAAAGCACTTTTTTGGAGTTTTTCAAATTTTCGAAAATATCCGAATGCATCTTCAAGTGAAAATTGGAAATTTTAAGAACAAACGCTGATTTCGAAAAAAAGTAAAATTTTTTTGGAATAAAGGAAAAAAAATCTAAGTCCAAACGGGCACTAATTTTCAAATATCATTTTCTCTTGTAAAAAAAATTCACTTTTTTAAAAAAAATTTACAATTCTTATGTCCAAACGCCCACTTTTAATTTTCGTTACTCCCACTACGTTACAAGATATACAAAACTTGTGGCAGGCTGCAGCTTTGCCAAAGTTTACTGGGAAGAACATATGACTCATTCATTAGACTTATAGCTTGTTTGGCCAAGCTTTTTTAATCCTAAAAGTATTGTTTTTTTTTCTTTCAAATAAAGGTGTTTTTTTTTATTTAATTGAAGTGTCTGACCAAGTTTTTGGAAGAAAAAAAAAGTATTTTTGAGGAGAAGCAGAAAAAATATTTTTTTTCCAAAAGTACTTTTTTGAAAAAAATACACTTAGAAGCAATTTGTAAAAGTTTGGTAAAATACTAATTGCTACTCATAAGTACTTTTCAAATTAATTAGTCAAATACAAACTGCTTCTAATTAAAATTACTTTTGAGAAAAACACTTTTAAAAAGAAAAGTACTTCTCAAATAAGCTGTTTTTTTGCCGCTGGCCAAACGGACCACTATCCTATGAATTGTAATATCTTGAATAGTTCGTTAGAATACCGATATCTTTGTCTATTTTGTAGGATTAATTTGTTTATTTCATTTCCTCTCGAAGTTAACTTTTTTCTTCTAAGAATTCAAAGATCTTTAAAGTCCTCACAAATTTCCGAAATCCATACACTCCCTCCGCTTCATTTTTATTGATTTTTTTTACCTTTTATGTTTCATAATGTTTGATTTTTTTCGAACAAATTAAAGAGATAGTAATTATTAGTATGATCAACTTTATTATTAAGTCCTTAATAAATGCGAAAACAATTAAAAATTCAATTAAATGATCGGAGGGAGTACTAATTAGGAAGAAAAAGCCCTCTCCGAGCAATCAAGTTAACGAGGAGTTGAATTCAAGTATCTTCAACATTTATTGTCGATATGTAAAAATACTTGACAAGTTAAATTCGAAAGCTAAATCTTACACAAGTAATCACCAAATCCAACCTCGAATGTGATTAATGGACCTACGTCAATAATTGGATTTTTTAAGAGCTTTTTTCACTTTTATCCTCCACCAAAAATTATTTATACTTAGTAGTAAAAAAAGTATATATATATATATATATATATATATATATATATATATATATATATATATATATATATATATATATATATATATATATATATATATTTGACTATTACATTGAGAGTAGCTATACAATATCATTATTTCATTTTTTAAATCCAGAAATATAAATATCAAAGTCTAACAATTTCAACCATTGGAAGAATTAAAGCCTTCTGCCACTATTTATTTTGTTTTTTGGAAGTATATATTATCCAGAAAATGGAGAAAAAAATCGAAGAAGACAAAATTAAAAGGACCTCAAGCATGGAACAGAGATATTTGTAGAATACTGGAAGTATGAGAATTGAAATTCATGTTAGTATTCAGTTATAAAATCAGTATATACAACGTAGAAACCCTATGCTTAACAGAGAAGATCCAACTAATTTTCCTCTTTTTGTTTTTTGTCATTTTTTAATCTCTTTTTCCCTCTGCCTCGCAAAATGTACAATAGTCTTCGAATTTCATATCCGATGATCGGATCAGCTACCAGCACTGATCTGTCTCCCAGTTCCGGGGAGTATAGCCGGTGAATCCCGACATTGCTGACGGAGAACAACCGCCGGAGTACAAATTGATGCTCCGGTGCCTCCGGGAAAGGCGTCGGTCATAATCGGCACGTTTGTCCGGATCCGATAGAGTGGAATAAGCAGAATGAATCTTCATGAAATCGTCCGCCGACGAGTCCTTCTGATCAATCGCCGCCACATCGGGATGGCAAACTCTAGCTAATCTCCGGTAAGCTGCCTTGATCTCCTGGACAGTAGCGCCCATCGGAATATCTAGAATTTCGTAAAACGACGCTGGAGAAGCAGGGATCAGGTTACGAGGCAGCGTCGAATACCTAGAAGTAGGGGATTCAGTTTCGACGGAAGCGCAGGTTGCAGCGGCAGCCGTGAAATAACCGGACTGCCGGAATGTGAGAGAAGACGGTGAAAGAGCAGAATTGTCGCCGGAGGAAAATATATTCACCGGCGGCGGTGGGGTTTGAAGAAACAAACGAGTGGAAGTGGAAATCATGGGTGTTGTTTTTGTGAAGTGTAATGAGTCAGAGGAAAGGAGGCATAAAGTGGGTTATATAGAAGAATGGGATGAAAACTGGGGGCTAAAAGTTAAAACGGTGAGATGGTTAAAAAACTAAAATCTAAAGAGTTGGGGGGCCAATGTATAATTATGAGGAATTAGATCGTTTAGAAGTTATGCAAGGGAAGGCTTATCCGTTATATTTGGACGAGTCAGCACTCAGCTTATCCTATTCTTCAATGAGTGAGCTCTGAGTTAGATGTCGGTATTTATTGCGTCCATTATTCTTTCCTTCGCAAAGCAGCATTGACAATACAAGTAGGAAATGAAAACAACAGAAGAAGATAAATATAGTATATGATGAGTTATAAATATACTCGTGAGTTTGCATAAAAAATCTAGCTTGACCCCTACGTAAATACTCTAACTAAGGATAAACAAGTAAATAAATACAAGATCAGGATCCATATTGTATGGTAATCGCATATGATTGTGTTAATTGACAAACAAATATTACCAAAAAAATAAAAATAAATTGACGACAAACAAAAGTTCAACTCAAATGGAAGCAATCTAGAGTGTACAAAGTACAAACTTATGATAATTAAGATAACGTGTGGGAACGATAAGTGTATACCTCCAAATGCACTAATTAATCCATAGATGAACACTAGGACGAATTATATTGTTTAAAGGGACAAGATACATTAGATTGATATAAAATCGCATGCTTATTAAATTATCTCAAATTAGCTTTAATCTCTTTAAATCCCTACGAACTTTTAGCTGATATGGACACAAGAAAGCAATCACTCTATATCCAGACGATACTAGCTACTTTGGGTGAGGGTTTAGGAGAAAATTTTATTTTGTGTCTCATACAACTGATACTAGTTGTATCATGTATGAGACATCTTTTTTGTCTCACAATTTTGTGGACCCAGATTTTTGTGGACCCAGAAGTATAAAATTGGGATCCACAAATTTGTGAGACAAAAAGGAGCCTCACACAACTAATATAAGTTGTGTGAGACACACAATAAAACTTGTCAGGTTTAGGCTTTATTGACTTTACAGTTCATTTCATCAAGTTCGGTATTGACATAATTTTTCTTAGTTTAAATGGTTAAAGATTTCTAATCTTTATAGCCATATGTGTGAGCTTTAGAGTTTTTCTAGCTTATGTGAACTCCTCTCTTTGTCTGAAAGATAATTAAATTAATGAGTTTCGTGAAAATATATATATATATGATAAAATTTTGTGAGATCAAAAAATAGTTTTGCCAATTTAATATTATAACTGTAGTCAAAATCTGACCACAATGGTCGACCAAGCTGGGACCTCGCCTAAGTGGTAAATGGCGAGAAGCACCACGACCAACCTCAGTCCAATCAATGACAGTGTGCGTCAAGTAAAAATGGTACTCGAATAACGACGAAAAGATCGTCACGTGAAGAACACGTTGGTAAAAGAACACAGTAAAGCTCGGAGAACTATATATAGAAGGGGGGCTCTCGGAAAAAGGGGGGCCGGACTTTTCCTCTCTGCTCTTTCTCTTGCAATTTCTTCCTCTGAAGGATGTAAACTCATTTTTCTCTCTATCTCATCAAAGATGAGATATTTAACATCAATAAATATTCGGAGAAGGGTCATATTTATCCCTTTACTTTAAAAAATAAGTTATATTTATTCTCCGTTTTACTTTTTGCATATTCTTACCCCTGTCGTTCTACTTTGGGTTTAAAATTACCCCCAGCCGTTGATCTACTCATCAGAACTTTAAAAAGACACATGGCCCTCTCTGGTTGCTCAAAAAAAATACTCACCACTTCCTATTATTTCTAACCGACTTAAGGTTAAGACCCTACCCGACCCACACGAACCTCCCACTTGAATCTCCCAACACTAACCCACAGTGCTAGAGAGCATGGAGTACATGAAAAGTCCCTTTATAATTCCATAACTGATTTTTGGGTCTCTGTACATATACTTTAGTTATATCATATCACTTTATTTTAATTTATGTTTATTGCAAGATAAGTAGTTTTAATTACAAGAATTCTAAGTTTTTCTATTACTATTATTTTCTCGCTAATGGAATTATAAGATCGATTCCAAAGGGAATGTGTCCTTTTCTTGGGAGAACAAGCCAGGGGTTAGTAAAGTTACACCAACATGCAATTGTGGGTTTTTCACCAACTTACACCATCGCTGTGCTCGGTGCCGAAAGAAGCAAAGACCGAAGCATTCCATCACCTACAAATTCCTCATCCGCCGCCGCTATTGAGAAGTTCACCTAGAAGGGGATTCAAGAAGCAAGATGATCCATCCTTGATGGGCTATAAAGAGTGCACAAACAGCTCAAGGAAACTAACAAGTTTTTAGGTGGTTTAAGGATGATTATGGGTTGGGAGATGAAGAATAAGAGGAAGTGTTGGGGAATTTACGTGAAGGGGCTCGGGTGGGTCGGGTAGGTCTTAACCTTGGGTCAGGTAGAAATAATAGGAATTAGGAAGTGGGGTGGGTATTTTTTTGAGCAACCAGAGAGTGCTATGTGTCTTTTTAAAGTTCTGATGAGTAGATTAACGGTGAGTAGATTAACGACTGGGGGTAATTTTAAACCCAAAGTAGAACGGTAGGGATAAGAATAAGCAAAAAGTGAGACGGAGGATAAATATAACTTATTTTTAAAAGTAGTAGGATAAATATGACCCTTCTCCGATAAATATTTATTGTTCTTACTTTTCATTCATGGTATTGCTGTACATTCTTAGATCTGAAGTTGATTATGCTTGACTAAGATTTACCCTTTTATCATCATTAATTGATTTAATCAAAAAGGTTTTAATATCTTTTGGTTTAACAATTTAGTGCCGTCTGTGCGGATTTCTTAGCCAAATTTCCTAGTCTCCTTCAGATGCAAAAACCGGTGAAACATAATCACCCACCAGAAAGAGTGGTAAGTAAACCTCACATGCTAATTTAGATCATGATGCTACATAGAAGCAGAAGTTACAACCAATATCCACGCAAAGCTTGCAAGAGAAGACGACGCCTGTTGCGCAAATCCCATAAGAGAAAGGGCACATCATATGGGAAGACCCACGCACCGGATGATCCACACACCGGATGACCCATGAACGAGCTAAGAAAAACCCAACCCACGCCGGGCCAGGGCAGGTTAAAAAAAAGAGGAAGAAAAGAAGGCCGAAGACGGCTGCCGAATCCACAAACCACCATTCCATCAACCACTTAAACGTCAGACAGAGCGAACAACGCTAAAAGGCTACCCTCATTCATCGACTCATCGGATCGAGGTAAGGAAAATTCCATCTTGGTTTACTTTCTGTTGTTTGCTTAAACAGGAACACAAGCGCCGCATGGGCAAGCGAGCAAAGAAGCATTCCAACTGGAGAGTGGAAGAACTATTACAAAATAACTTGAATATCGCCCATCTCAGACATTTCAACTTTTGGAAAATGACGTCCCCTAAGTCGTACTCCTTCTCCTCACTCAGGTGTTGTCCCGATTGGGTTCTCTCGGGGAGGTTTTGAACGAGGCAATGAGGGAGACGTCACCAAGTTCAAAGGACAGTTCATCGCCCCTCCTATCGGCGATCTCTCCAGGCCAAATGATAAAGGGGTTAAACAGGGAAATTCCAATATATTCATAAAACGAACATTAGCAAGATAGCAACGTCCAATACTCTCTGGCGTCACACTCTCCAATACAGACAAATATAAGCAAATTGGGACTCACCCAGGAAACACACAAGTTAAGCAAAACTAGGACCCCCCCCAGAGGACACCCAAAACTCTCCAAAAAAAAACTGGGACTCACAATGGGTAAACATTTCGACGACAACTCGAAATAACATCCTACGGCTAAGGCCATCGCCAAAGAAAAGAGTTCGACATCGCTCGAATTGTAATGGGTTAACATTTCGACGACATCCCAAAATAACACCCCTACGGCTAAGGCCATCGCCAAAGAAAAGAGTACGACATCGCTTGAATTGTAATGGGTTAACATTTCGACGACAACTCAAAATGACACCCTTATGGCTAAGGCCATCGCCAAAGAAAAGAGTTCGGCATCGTTCAAATTGTAATGGGTTAACATTTCGACGACAGCTCGAAATAACACCCCTACGGCTAAGGCCATCGCCAAAGAAAAGAGTTCGACAGCGCTCGAACCACGACGGGTTAACATTTAGACGACAGCTCGAAATAACACCCTTACTGCTAAGGCCATCGCCAAAGAAAAGAGTTCGACATCGCTCGAACCACAACGTGTTAACATTTCGACGACAGCCCAAAATAACACCCCTACGGCCAAGGGCCATCGCCAAAGAAAAGAGTTCGACATCTCCCGAACCACGACGGGTTAACATTTAGACGACAGCTCGAAATAACACCCATACGGCCAAGGGCCATCGCCATAAAAGAAGAGTTCGACATCGCTCGAATTGTAATGAGTTAACATTTCGACGACAGCCCGAAATAACACCCCTACGTCTAAGGCCATCGCTAAAGAAAAGAGTTCGACATTGCTCGAACCACGACGGGTTAACATTTCGATGACATCTCGAAATAACACCACTACGGCTAAGGCCATCGCCAAAGAAAAGAGTTCGACATCGCTCGAACCACGACGGGTTAAAATTTCGACGACAACTCAAAATAACACCCCTACGGCCAAGGGCCATCGCCAAAGAAAAGAGTTCGACATCGCTTGAACCACGACGGGTTAACATTTCGACAATAGCTCGAAATAACACCCCTACGAGTTCGACCTCGCTCAAATAAACAACGGGTTAACATTTCGACGTCAGCTCGAAATAACACCCATACGGCCGAGGGCCATCACCAAAAAGAAGAATTCGACCTCGCGAATGACGACGGGTTAACATTTCGACGACAGCTCGAAGTAACACCCATACGGCCAAGAGCCATCGCCAAAAAGAAGAATTCGACTTCGCTCGAATAACGATGGGTTAACATTTCAACGTCATCTTGAAATAACACCCCTAAGCCAAAAGCTGTTGCT